TCCTGATTACCAAGGGGAAATTGGGTTGGCTTTACATAATGGAGGTAAAGAAAAATATGTCTGGAATACAGGAGATTCTTTAGGACATCTCTTAGTACTACCATGCCCTGTGATTAAAGTCAATAGAAAATTACAGCAACCCAATTCTGATATGACTGCTAACGGCCCAGACCCTTCAGGAATGAAAGTTTGGGTCACCCCACCAGGCAAAGAACCACAACCAGCTGAGATGCTTGCTGAGGGCAAGGGATATACAGAATGGGTGGTGGAAGAAGGTAGTGCTGACTATCAGCTATGACCATGTGACCAGCTGCAGAAACAAGGACTGTGATTGTTATATTTCTTCATTGTATATGTGCATCAAATATTTTTGTTTCCTTCTGTTATGAGCTGTGAAATGTAAATAAGGTTAATGCATTTTGGTTGTATGTGTGTCAGCGTATCATATTAGGCACAAATATGACTTTATAATTGTCCTTATTTAGAGATTTATATGGTTAAGAAGATGTGTAAAACTGCCAAGTTGACAAGGGGTGGACTGTGATAGTTGGAGCTGTGTGTAAACTTGGCTGGACCCCAGTTCTGTGTGGTTGTTCCCATGATGGGATCAGATGACTGTGTTCTAAGTGGCCAATCTGTTCAAGGGGAGTTTTTCTAGGGGTGTGGCCTGCTTCCAGGATATCCTGGGACATCCTGGGAAGAGATACATTCTTCCGTGGATCAGGATTCTGTTGTGCTGCCTACAACTGTCTGTGAGTGAGCAATCCGCCGTTCAGCCTGGAGATCTTGGATTCGTCATTTGTTGGAGTCAACAGCCGGTGTACTGCCTGCCATCCTTGAGCTTCTCAGCCCCTGTGGAGGAAAAGCCTCCAGCCTGATGTTTCCTCCAGGGACTTTGGACTTGCATGCTTCTATACATTTGTGAGCCATTTTCCTAAGATAAATTTTTTTCTCTTTTTATATATATATATAAGCTTTGCTGTTTTTTGTTTCTCTAGAGAACCCAGTCTAATACAACGTGTATATCAGGGAATATGACACAATGGAATGAAAAGAGTGAGGAAACTCTATAAGACTTATCATTCCTTAGAAAAATTTCAAAGATATATTGTTGAAAAAAGAATTCAAAGTATGGGATGGGAAAGATAGTATACATTAAAAAGAAAAGAAGAAAATATATATGCTAGTTTTGGCTTAGTTTTTGATCATTTACATTTAAGATAATTGTTGATATGTTAGAGCTCAAATCTACCATTTTATTATTTGTTTTCTCATTGTTTCTTGTTTCTTATTCCTCTTTTCCATTTTTCTTGTCTTCTTATGGGTGACTTTAATAATTTTTAGGATTCTATCTTTATTTATAGTGTTTTTTAGCATATCACTTTGTTATTGTGTTATCACTTCTTAGCAGTTGTTCTGGGTATTACAATGTACGTCTATGACCTATCATAAAAAGAAAGAAAAAACTCACTGCCATTGAGTCTTTCCTGACACATAGCGACCCCTCCTTGAGTTTCCAAGGCAATATCTCTATGGAAGCAGATTGCTCAATCTTCCTTCCAAGGAGTGGCTGCTGGGTTTGAATCACCAGCCTTCTGGTTAGCAGTCAAATGTCTTAGTCAGTATGCCACCAGAGCTCCCATATGGTAGTCAACTGGTATCAACACTTCACTAAGTTGAGTGAAGTGCAGAAACCACGCTTCCATTTAGGTTCCTTTATACTTGCCATTTTTAAATATCACCACTTTGAATATCAGATGGTGTTATAAGTTTTATTCCAATCATCATATAATTTAGAAAACTCACAAGAAGGATAGTATATTGTATTTACTATTTATTTCTGCTCTTTTCCAGCCTGCAGGAACAAAGAGTGCTTCCTTGCCAGGAGCTTTTTGTGCAGGAATTCTTCTTGCCAACGCCCCCTGCCAAGTCTCTGAATGGAAGAAGGAAGTCTCAAAGTGGTGGAAAAGTAGAGAAATTCCCTTGGACAATTTGGACAGTTATTGTGAGAGGGTCTTCCGAACAGTCCCCCTTACCTTTTCTGTCGGGCCTGCCTATTATTTTATTGGCAGGACTCTCATTTGATTTGGTGAAAGAATAAGCCTTACCTGGGCTGCCTTCTGTTGCCAGATTGGTATCCGCAAAAGCCCGGCTCAGGGGAGCTGTAAAATGCCCTACAGCTGTGCTTTCCTTTGATCCTGGGGCCCCTAATTAATTCACTTTCTTCTTTCTACCCTTCATAGTTATCTTTTGGTTGTCTCCTTGTTATTTCCAGAAGTTTTAGTTGTACTTGGAGTACCTGGGTAATAATATATGGTTAAGTATTTGGCTATTAACCATAAGGATAGTAGTGTTTGAATCTACCCAGAGGAACCTTGGAAGAAGGGGTTGGGGATCTACTTCCAAAAGGTCACAGCCATAAAAAATCCAAGGAGCGCTATTCTACTATACAACGCTTGGAGTTGTCATGAGGCAGAAATGATTCTATGGCAACTGATGTGTTTGTTTGTTGATTTTTTTTTTAAGTTGTGCTTATTAGGGAGGAGGAAGGAGAGATAAGTCTACACCATCTCGTTCAGACCAGAAGTCCTTTATCTATACCTATATAGACAGAAAACCTAAGAAGGAATTTTATATTATTGTTCTGGAAGGGAGCCTGGGGGGGAAAGGGGTGGGAGGAAGACATTTTTTGTATGCCTTCTTCTATATTCTAATTTTGAATCAGGTGTCTATTCAAAAATAAAAATGAGAAAGTAAAAAAAAAAAAAAACTTCAACTTGTTTTTTAGGAGCACAACTAAGGAATAACAATTACATTACAAGACAAGTCAAGCAGTGTATGGCTCCAACAGTTGGCAATTTATTAAATTTCATGACTTTTAATCTCACTATATTGTGACTGCTTTGATCCAGATCCCTGAAAATAAGAATAATATTCTCAGTGGATTTTCAGCTTGCTCATACATTTTGAATACCTAGCAGAATACAAATGTGCAATTTAGAAAGAAGTAGATGCTTTTGGCAGCATACTAGTACCCTAATCAGCTGAAAAAATAATATTTGTATAATATAAAAACAAAATTAATAGCAAGGCACTGATTACATGAAAAGACTTTATGGTGTAATTATTAAACTTGCAAACAACTTAGCATAATTAGTGCCTTAATTAGGATAAGACCTGAAATGTCAGCTTACAAAATTAATAAAGGCCATTAAAAGTGACATTTGTAAAGCAAAGTAGATTTTAAAAAATACAAAGTAGTTAGATATCACTTTTTTTCCCATTTGGGGGAGCATCTTTAAAGGTATGAAGGCTTACAATGCAATCACTGTGATTCTCACCCACCACACCAACATAGTTTATAAGCCTGAAGCCTTAAAGCTCAAGTTTGAAGTAGGCAGAGCAGCTCTCAGGCACACTCCATCCCAAGCTGGGGGGCACAGTAAAACTAATACTTTTCTCTCCCCAGCATCTTAAGTGCAACATAAATCAGAAGATTGACATTGACTTTGATAAGAATCTATCATTTGAACAGAACTTTTGGATCCAAATGACAATTTTCACCATATTCATTTATTTTTCAACACATGCTTCTTGAAGGCCTTTCAGGTCCCACAGTATACAATATGGTGAAGATTTCAATCCAAGGTCAAAGAATTTCCCATCAGTGAATAAAAAATGGATACTCCAATAATTATTGGTGAGATAGTTATTTGGAAAAAATAAGTAAAACTAGAAACTTACTTAACCAAATACCATGACCTGTAAGACAAAGCCATAAAAGCAATTACTAACAAAGTTGCCTGCTTAAAAACTTTAAGCTTCCATATATTAAACAAACAAACAAACATAAGTTTTAAAAACCCAATTCAAAGTTAAATCAAGAAAGAACTGATTAAAATCTGAAACTTTCATTTATAGTTGGATTTTTTCCTGTAAAGTCACAATTTTATTCCTTTATTAAAAATTAAGGAAGTAATGAAATATATGCATAGCAATTTAAGTACAAGGATATTAAGTGTAAGGGAAAATGAAAAAAAAAAAAAAACCTGCATGTTAAATAATAGCTCATTAAGTGATTAAATAAATTACTATATAGCCATTCAAAATCAGAATGTGTAATAAGAAAGACAGTTAGAGGATATAAAAGAATCCAATTTGATTTTAAAATGTCTTTAAACAGATAAAAAAAACTGGAAGGAAACATCAAAATAACAATGACAATTATTACTAGAGGTAGAATTATGGACAAATATTATTTTCTTCATTTCTGGTAACTTGCAAATTTTCTATAGTAAGTAAATTATTTATGTCTGTATTCATTATTGTTTTTTTCATTCTTTGGAGTTTTAAGGAAAAGGGTATCTCACTTTCCCCCAGAAATAGATAACTTAGAATTAAATCAGATATGAAAGATCAAATTGAGAGCTTGAAGAGTGTAGCTTACAAAACAAATTGTGATTAACTTGTCATTAATTAAAAGTGATAATAATAAGGTCCTCTACCAGATTGAGTAGTGTTATATCATATGGGTTAAATCACAGCACCTGGGCATCCATAGTGATCTATCTCTCTGACATTGCAGGCCTAAAACACAGGCTGTCCTTTCCCAAGTCCCCACAGTACCAGAGAGTTCTTTCATAAAATCATTGTCATGCCTGTCTAATACTAAACTGCCTATGTTTTACAATCTAAAAAAAACTCACTTTCATGGAGTCGAATCTGACTCATAGTGACTTCTCTGGGTTTCTGAGGCAGTATCTCAACAGAAGTAGATTGCCCAGTCTTCCTTCCAAGAAGTGCCTAATGAGTTTGAACCATCAGCCTTCTGGTTAGCAGTCAAATGCCTTAGGCACTACACCACCAGAGCTCCCATGATTTACAATAGGGAATGCAAACCCTAACATTCAGATTAACTGGTCTTGGCAAGAAGTATGTCTTGCCACAAAATAGCTATCACTAATAGCACATTAAGTGTCATCACTGAACTTCTTCTGTACCTGTAAGTTTTCTTAATTTCTTCATTGGATGCTCCCTTTTGCAGACCAAGAATTTCATATAGAGCTTCTCCAGAAGTGGATAGAGTCCGCTGTCTTGAGCAAGGTGTGTTACCAGCCATTTTCTCAGGCTATAAAAACAAAGAGAGGAAACAGTCATGAAGATTATGTGGACTGGATCCTACTTTCTAAAAGGACAAGATGTTCATTCTCGACCTTTTGTAAAATGACATTCTAAAATACATTTGAGCACCAGTAGCAATAGAAGAGAAGGAAAGGGATAGGAGAGCCGGAAATAGAGATTCCATTTAGGATGTTAAAGGCTACAAGAGGGTCATGCAAATGGAACCATGCTATGTCATTATGGTTAAATAAAAGCAAGATATTATCTAAACACCTACTTAATTCAGAATTATTGAAAATCAATTCTGATAGCTCAGTCCAATGTAGACTTGTTGCTGCCATTGTTAGAATTAACTTCTTTTTTGTATGTTTTCCCCATTTAGATGGCAATAGAAATAATGTTCCATTTTACCTTGTTCAAACTCAAGATGGCACATAACAACAACTATTGAACTTGTTAGAGCAAAAGTTAACAAAAAAAAAACTTTTTAAAGTATGAGGAAAAAATTCCTGGTCTCACATGGGAGCCAGGTTAGAACTTCTCTGCAGCTGTGGGGTCTTAGATTCCCCAAGAATGCACATGGGTTATGCACCTGAGATAGCTCCTTTCCCTGTTGGCCCAACCAGAAACTACTAGGCTATCATCTTCAGACCCAAAGGGTTATCTGTCTGCTGCATCAAGGCTCTGGGTGGTGGAGAGAAACCAGTAGACATGGGGGCCAGTCCCATATCCACCACTTCACCCCTATGAGCTTCACTGTCTTCACCT